CTCGCCATGCCCAGAATTTCAGAAAGCAGTGCCCTGAGTGGTGTGTTATTTGTCTAGGTCCCCAGTAGTGCCCTTTTACCTTTTCTTTTGAGTTTTTTTTTGTTTTTCTAAGATAGAGTACAGACAAAAGGGTACCCTTATTCTAACCTCTCTACTGGAGGGCCTAGTTGTGGATGTTTCAGACGTCCAAAATTCTGACCCCTCCCGGCCAGGCCGCTCCCATCGAGTAGGCGCAGGCGGCTCCGGCCGCCAAGCATGGCGGAGGTTCGCGAGCGCGGCGCACGCGGGCGGGCGGCAAAAATCCGGTCGAGCGGCACCGGCGCATGGGACATGCGGACATGCAGGGCTTGAAGACATGTTCCGAGGTGGATGCAGACTTGGATATCCACATGCGGACATGTAGGGTTAGACGGTCATAGTATTGTATGTTCCACACTTCACGGCCCTATATACTTGCGCATGCGGGCACGTCAGCTTTGCTCAAGCCTGGCTGAGACTTGTTAATCGCCCAAGCGGCACCTCGGAACCCGCTCAATGGTCGAATCAAACGACACGGGTTCCTCATCACCATATTGGCCGAAAACTTGGCATGGGTGCTGTTTGGGAACCCTGACTGAAGCAAGTTCACATGTTCACCACTTTGGAGTGCCCGATGCTGGAGCATCAGGCGACTGAGATTTGTGTTGGGTTGGTTCAGATGAGCTTATACAGGCTTGCGGTTATGCAAAGTACTCGTAAGCAACAAAAAGAGCGCTGAACAGCCCGCCATGATCAGACCTTCGCCCCGAGGCCTGGAGCAACACTTCGCAGTGTCAGTTTGGCCCCAGGTCCCTGAGGATCCACGGAAGAAACTGTTGGTCACTGTCTTCTTTTTGGGGGAGCCCAAACCATGTCTCGAAGCTTTTGGTTTTGCTTCGAAGCGCTCCGAAAAGGGTACGGTATGGCACGTTGAGGAAACGGGCACCCATTCCAAGTGCCCATGCCAGCACTGCATACATGTGCCTGGCAGATTCTAAAAGGGTGTCTCAAACCTGGGACCCCCCGTCACGCTCCGTGTGCTGTCTAGGTTGGCCAAACAAAGTCTCCCTCCAAGGAGACAATCCCAAGCCCTCTGCAGCATCTGCAGCATCTGCGGCCTGGGTGGGTGTTTCCAGACATCAGTGACATGTTGGCCTGGATGTGCCGCCGTGATAGCGAAGCAGACCATATTTGTTCAAGCAAGAATCACGATACACGATCGTAGCTCAAGTGGCAGTTTGACGGCAGAGCCCTGGGCAGCAAATCGACTTGTATGCGAGCAAGGGCCCTACACTTTCAGTTTTCCGCGCTGGGGCCCTCGCGGATGTTTTTTTTTTTTTATTTTTATTTTTTTCCCACGCTTATGGCGGCCGCGCCGCAATAGGTAGAAGTCCGCCCGCCAAGCCGACATCCCTTGCAGATTGCTGACGTATGCCCAGGTCTTGCAAGATCTGGGGCAGAGGCCCTGCCTCAAGCCCTAGGGACGTTTCAAGAAATCTTTGCTCTGCGTGCAGGCGCGCGGCTTCGGAAGCGAGTGGCTCCTCAGGCATGTGGGCTTGATGGGCGGAAGGCTATCCAAACGAGAGTGTGATGTGTGTGTGTGTGTGGGTTTTCGTTCGTGTGTCCTCTGAGGGTGCCCGTTCAACATCGTTTAAAGGGAAGACGTAGTGGGTGTTCCCTTCGGCGGGCCTCAAGATTTCAATGGCAGGCTCTCGGGCAAGGCACTCACGGGCCCATTTGTGACTTAGAGCTGCGCCCATGGTGTCCAAATCATGTGATGTGTTGCATCCTGTCGCGGGATGCTGAAGGCTCCTTGAAGAGGTGGAGACATTCCGCTATACTGGATAGAACCGGATGGTCTTTCAGCACCCGTCCGAGGGGGACGGGGGGTTGATACTCCTGTGGATGCCCATCAAGGGCAGCCCTGCAAACAAGTGGTTGTGTGTGTGTGTGTTACCCAGCAATCTTTCATGCTCTTTGGCTAATGCCAGCTTCGGCTGCTTTTTGGTTGGTGGCTTCCCTTTGGTTCAAGCCACACAACATGGAAGGCTCTTTGTGGCCAGCGGGCAGGCTGTGAAGGTTTGCTTGTTTGATGATTTTGTGTCTCGACATCGGCGCCACATGTGTTCGAGCGAATTATTTCTGACAGGACTCTAGGGACTGGAGTCGTTTTTCTTCGACAAAGGGCCCGGTTGGTTCCATCTCCGTCGGGAGGGCCATTTTCTCTGCTGCTATGGGCTTGGATCTTTATGCTTCGACTTCTTGGAATACCCCTCCTACTTTTCTACTCCCGTAGGTAGAGAGCTCGACTCGCGCGGATGCCAAAGCTGGTGACCGAGACGCGGATGCTGCCAGAGGGGACGGAGGCCTGGCCTGCTGGTCACGTTTGTCGGTTTTGCTTTTTTGTTGGGGTGAACACAGGAGCCGCTACCAACATGTACATTTACAAAAAATAAAAAATAAAACCATGTCTAGTTTTTGTTTTCTTGCACAAACTTCCAAAAGCGGAGCGCGCTAAAGGGCTACCCGGCTGCGTGCGCTACGCCAAGCGGAAAGCAGGGCTCCGAAACCCCGATTTTCTGACACACCCCTCCATTGTGGGATCGCTCGGGGTTTATCCCCACTGTGATACTTGTGGGAATCTCCCCCCTTATGGGGGGTTTGTCTTTGGGGCTTGCCCTTTTGTATCGCAGAAGTGGATTCCATTTCCCACAGCCCTGCACCCCTCTGTTTGCCTCGAGGCGAAGCGCCGAGGCAGGGGCGTCCCAGCGAGCGACGCGTCTCGTTTTTCTCAGATGGGCTCCACTGGTTTCTGCTCGACTCTCATAATGAGCATGTGTGTTCCCACAGATTTTTCAGATTTTCCCGCACGTGTTGAGATGAGCATTGGTTTTAGTTTGGCTCTCACTTACCAGTGCCCTGTGCCGTCCAAGTTTGCAAAAAGTACACCTGTTGGGAGGGATTGGCGCTGGAAAAGCCCAACAACAGCATGCTGTTGGCAAGGCTTTGTGATGGGTCAATTTGACCTTTCTGTGGGTTTGAGGTTGCGATTTGGGCGGGTTTAGGGTGGTTTGTTGTCGTGTCAAAGTCTGGCTATTCGCCCGGTGTTCAGAACAGATTTGTCAGAGGTGTCAAGGTGCTGATAGTGGAAACGGTTGTTTGCCGGAAGCAGCCGGGGGCAAGCATCATCTACCCCTGGACTGTTTTATACGAACACATGTGGTGACTAGTGGCTGAGGGCTCATTTGAATATTTGTCTGTCGGCCGCATGAGCTTTGAAAGTCATTGGTCTGGTAACGGGATCTGCTTTGTATTGCAGAGGATGTTTGCCGTGTTGGTTCAGTATTGTTTAAGTGTTAGCTTCCAATTGGAAACAAATTCCTTTGCTTTGAAACTTGCTGCGCGGTAATTATTTGCATCATTGAATCATGCCATGAACAAAAGTGCTGGACATACCTGCCCACATTTTTTTTGTGTGTGTGTGTGCGTGTGTGCGTGTGTGTGTGTGTGTGTGTGTGTGTGTGTGTGTGTGTGTGTGTGTGTGTGTGTGTGTGTGTGTGTGTGTGTGTGTGTGTGTGTGTGTGTGTGTGTGTGTGTGTGTGTGTGTGTGTGTGTGTGTGTGTGTGTGTGTGTGTGTGTGTGTTTGTGTTGCCTTTTTTTTTTTGGGGGGGGGTGGTGTAAGTTTGAGTTGTCGCTGTGCCACGGAGAACCTTGGCGCCATTTTGCCGTGCCACGCATCTTTTTTGCCAGCTGCTTGAGGTACGCAAGGTCAACCGCTCGTAGGTCGTCGCTTGGTCACTGAATTGCCTTCATTGGGATATGTCAAGCCCCGTCTCATGCTGTCCATGACCGATGCATGGCCTGCTCAAATTCTGGAGCGTCCTCGCTGGTCATTCCTTCTAGCTGCCTAAGTAAACCGCCTCTCCAATTGCCTGCTTTGATTTGGGGTCGCCATTTTTTCCGAGCTGACAGAACATGAAACGGTCCAATTCCCATTTGTTGCGGAGAGTTGGGCCGAAGGGTGCCTTGGACCTTTGTCCGTGCCTGAGGCGACTTTCTGAGGAGGAGCTGAAGCAACGAGAGGCCGGATGGAACGGGTGGCTCTTGCGCACGTTTCTGTGCCTCGAGTTGGGTACCCTCCCACCAGCTAACATGGGAGTGCACAGACCCCCTTTCCAAGAGGAAAGGGAACTCTGCACTTCCATGTTAGTTAGTGGGAGGGTACACCTCCCCCTGTTTTTTGTCGGCCGCGTCAAAATTTCGGGGTCCGTTCGGATGGGACCCCCTGCACAAATTGCCACGAGGCAATGTTCAGGGGACCGATCGAAGAGGTTCCTGCGTCGATTTTTAGATGAGCCAGCAGGATTCCAGAGAAAACGACAGTGGCAAACAGACTCTTTTTGTGGCAAGTGAAAGTCTCAGAGTTCTGACTCAAGGGCGAGCACTTGAATCAATCCAAGTATAACCAAGCCTCACAATCCGTCGGCAAAACAAAAACACAATAAGATCAGGTGATATCCCCAACAGCATGCGGTGCTCTTTCTTGTGCTCGCACCACCCCGCAGCCCTCGCAGAACCTCGTGGAACCCTGGTGGAACCCTGGTGGAACCTTACCTCGTGGCCGCCCCGGACCACCCCGGAGCCTATCTGGGCTGAGACCCCAAAGCCTTGCAGCTGGGGGGAAAAACGGCGCACGACTTTCTGAAGTTGGCCCTCGGAGGCGCGGACGCTCTTTTTGGCCAACGTGCCGTTGGCCTGGAATGAGCCAGGGGCCCTAGATGTGGCATGTGGCATGAGCTTGGCACAGAATCCCCTCTTGCATGGTTCCAACGTCAACCAAGCTTGGGTGGTCCTCGGCAATCCGACAAGTTGAGACGGAAGGCGCTGACCCCAAATGTCCAGCCGGGGATTGGCATGGTTTTTGCTGTCACCCTTCCGCGGGCTGAAGATGGAAGGCTGAAGGGTCTGACGGCCATGATTCTGTTCAACTGACAACGAGCTCACAGGGGGAAACGAGCTCACCAATGATGCAGGTCCCTCTTGCTGGGGTTTTCCTCAATTCTGGTTGGTGTTTTGTAGTATTTCGCCCAGATGATTTTCAGCACTTTCCGCCACAATTTGACCAAACTGCTTTTGACAGCAACTGACACACCCACATGTTGTTCCCGCCTTCCAGTGGTGGTAAGTAAATACTCCTTCCAAACCCACAGTTTGGGTTGCTCGTAGGCCAACGACCTTGGCAATTACATTTCTGGCCACGATAATCGCATGAATCGATCTCAAGACTGTAGGCAGAGCTTACAGTGCACAAGATCTCGGAGCGATCACGTAGGCATGCGACGTAACAACGTACATTTCTGCCGCGCATGCTTCCGCTCATTGACTGGGAACTGGGCGGGAGTGGTAAAAAAAGCGCAAGCCAGTCAGCAGGCAAGCCATCAATGAGACAAGTCGAGAGGTGAAGGTGTTTGCTTTGCCTTTCAGCGAGGCGTTTGTTGCCACACCTCACATGTTTTCGTGGCCTTTCGGGGTCCTCTAATGTTTCAGAGTTTGTCGTGTGTGAAATCTCATCGCCAGCTTTGCCCGCAAAACTCGAACTTGCAAAGAAAGCGCAGGTTTGACGGCGGTCTTTGGTATCTTCTGATTGTATCTAGCTGGTGGTTGGAAAGGAGCTAAGGAGCTGGGGGTATCCAAGTTCGGCTTTTGAGAGGGAGCCAAGGGGCTACCAGAAATCGTTTGCTGATGGCTATCCTGTTACCATCACCCAGCAGTTCGCGGCCTGTGATTCTTGACCCATGGCTTTTTTGGCAGACTCCATAGAGTACATTAAGATGTGTATATACAACTCTACCCACCTGCTAGAGGGTCTCGAGGGGCCCAGGATCTCGCTTGAAATCATTAAAAGCGCTCCGCACTGCCCATCTCGGTAAGGCTCAAAAGAACCATAAGAGCAATGCGGGCTTGAGCAAATGCAAAACCTGGGTGGGCTTCAGCGGAAAGTGATCTGGAACTAGCGGGAGAGGCTAAGCCCTGGGCTGGCGGCAGAGTCTTTGAGTTGGAGGGAGGCTGGGTTGAGTCTGGGGCTTAGGGGTTTTCAGGCTGATGCCTGCTGAGCTGGCTGTGCCAACGGTTGTCGGCGTGGATGGGGTGGGCAGCTGGTGGGCCGGGCTGACCCGCCGAAAACGTTTGGTTCACGGTTTGGGGCGGGGAGGGGTTGGGGATCTGACTGCTTCGCGGCCTCGTGCGGGCCGAAGCGAGAGGACCAGGATCAAACAAGCTAAAAGAACGAGTGTTTGCTTGGTCTGGTCCAACCAGCTTTTGTCGCTAGAGGTTGGGGGCCGGAGAGCGAATCTGAGGAAACGCCTGCGCCGAGCCATGCGGGATGCGCTAGGCTGGGCTCACCGTGCGGGCGGTTTCCAGGCTGTACGCCAGCTGTGACTGGCGAAGTTCCATCGCGGCATTGCTCAAGCAACATCTTGCCACACCTAGCAGCCTGTAGAGAATTATGGTTCAAAACCAGTTGGGGCTTTGTGCAGGTCTTTGTTATTTCATGAACCAACAGGGGAGTGAAGGAAGGGTCAATTTTGACAGTTATAGCAACGTGGTCACGTGATGTAGGACGACTCCGCGACGGATCCAGGCTACCCTTGCAAGTTGATGTTGTGTGTCGCTAAGAGATTACCTGCGGCTTCATTGATTTGCGTCGCATGTCCCGAGTGATTCCACGGGCACACGTGCACACATCAGGATGTGCAAGGGATCCTGCGTCAGTTTTGTTTGAATCGGGCAACGGGCCAGAAACTGGCCGCCCACATGGGCTTATTTTGCCCACTTAGGAAGTGAGATTAGGATACACGTGTGTTAGCCATGCTTTGTCTCCGATTGACCGAGTGTTTTGCGTTTGGGTTTTTCTCCAGCAGCTTGCTTCCTTGGATTTTCCTTTCAACGAACCCCCAAGAAGGTGCCACACCCAAAAGACGCAGAGTATCCATGATGCAGCTTTGTGTTCGAGACTTGCTGAGTCGGCCATGAAGCGCGAAGACTCCACCCCCCCGGCGTCCGAGCCAATGTCCGTCGCACTGGAGGTGGAGCCAGCGCCCCTCGACTCGACCACCTTGCGTGCCCTCAAGAAAGCTTGCAGGCACCCACGTTTTGTAGGTTGGTCACGCATGGCTGTGAATTCATCGGAAGGCATGAGAACCACCCAAATGGTGTGAACCAGAGGCTCCCCAATTCAAAGTCATGCCCGTATGCCAAAGCAGGACGGCCCTCTCTTTTCCAATGCGTGGATACGACGGAGCCAGTTTGCATTTGTATGATTTCCCCGAGTGGGGAACCTACTGGACAACCAACATCTAACCAGATACCCTTACCGTCGTGATGGGAAGAAGAAACCCAACAGAATCGTGAAATTTCACAGACTCAACAAGAGATGCGCGTGTCTTTTTCAGGGAAAACTCCAAAAAATGTGGCTTTCCTCTTGGTGTCCCTTTGAAACCAATCAATCAAAGGGGGGGGCCCAGATCTGCCTTTCCCTCCCCCGGCCCCGATTTTCCCATCCGCTGAGGAAGGCGCCGCGGCGCATCACCCGGGTGGTCTCGGAGAAGTCGCTCTCGGACTCGATCTTGCCATTCTTGCGCCCCGGGCGGCAACTTTGTGGGATGCAGTCTGCATGAGGCCAATGCACGCAAAAGGAAAATATGCATATATATATATATATATCTGTATATATAATCATAAATTTGTATAATGTATGTATATGTAAGAAGCGGGGCCAATCCCTAAGCCTCACGATGTGTTCAACGTATACCCCCAGCGAACACATTTCGCACATGTGTCAGTCGTTGATCGGTATGGCCGATTCCATGAAACGTTCAAGTGACTGTGAGGGAACCAGGAAACCCCATTGGTATGGTCTATGCTTGGTTTCTTGAAACTCGGGTAGTGTGGCCTTGAAACTGCGGGGGCTTCCGGGTCACAACTTCTTAGCAGCACATCAAGGGGAAATGTCCCACGTTTAGCCCAAGGACAGCTTTCACACTTGGGTTTGTCTCCCATTTGTGGGTGTCCTGTTGGCGTTTGTTGAACCAAAAAGGGTATCCTCAAAAAAACACCCACCTGCTGCAAGGGCGGGTACTTGTGGAGGACAAGGTTCCGAAAGTCTGCGAGAAGCTTGTTTGGGTGAGCCACCTGAGGCACAGCTTCTCCATTTGTCTTTCTGGAAGCAACGGGTTGTCCTTCGGGCTATTGTTGGGCATCACTTTTCAGAGGCCCTCCGTCCGTTAAGGATCGCTTAGGGACTTTTGGCTTGTAGAGAACATTGCCTTTTGTTTTCCCATGATCCTAGCCAAGACTATGGCGAATTCTGGCAATCCATAGCTTCTTTGCGTCACACGCATGGTGGAGCTATCTCCCAACTGGATCTGAACATTTGCAAAGGCTCCTCCTTTGCCTCTTTCCATGGTTGTTGTTGGGAAACATTTTACATTTTTGCTTATTGTGGTTTAGTGGTTGAAATCCCCCAACTGCTAAAGTTTGATTTTTTGCTCCTACCGTCGCCCAAGTTTTGTGTTCAAAATACCTCGCGTTGGAATGCCGCGTCATTCCCATTGGGCCCCGCCCGTTTTTCGGGTGAGGCGAGCGAGGGCCAATCACGAGCACTGGTCCAAGACCGCCCCACCGCCATGGATCTCCAGCGCTCAGTTGAAGGTCAAGATGGCGCCGGTTTTGGCGGAGGAGCTCAGTTGGGTGTGGGCCGGTCAAAAATAGTTGGTAACCCCAGAATGGAAAGCCCGATCGGTGGAAATCTAGACGATTTAACCTGCGTTGCCCTGATGGATTCGTTTTGACCCATGCCCAAATGGGTGCTGACGATTCGCTGGTTCGGTTCGTTCGAGCCAACTGACGTGAACGATGGCGACCTTTGTGCCTCTTTTGCTTCGGGGACCCCAGCCCCGCAGAAAAAGGATGGGTGGGTTTTCTTTTGGTGTCCCTTCAATACCCAAAACGAAGGAGCCCTCAAGAAAAGACACACCCAAATAGGAGAATTGTAGTGCTCCCCTTGTTGCAACCATGATCAACTACTTGAGTGGTTTGAACATGCACGCGGAGGGAAGCAGTGCGAATTGAACCCATTCTTACCGGACCCGCCCTGCACGAGGGTGTTTAGCCCATGGGAGCTTTGTTTTGAACTGGAAACTCTGCAAGGCATTGCCTAGTTTCCGGTCAGAACGCTCAGCGTGCCCGTGCCAACAAGAGGTTCGACCGAAGCATGGCTGGTATGCTACGTTTGCAATCGCATCCCTTCACAAGTTGATCCAAAGTCCCCCACTCTTCAAAGCGTGTGGGGGGGGGGGGGGGCTGACCGAGCAGAAAGCAGAAAGCATCGCCAGGTATGATGTGGGTATGTCTCGGAGTGGGAACATAGGGTTGCCTTTTCGGGGTAATCGAGTCCAGCTTTGGCTCTGCAATGATTGCACGAAACAGCTTGCTGGCACATTGTTCCTGCAAGTACAAAGATAAGGATAGAGCAACCCTGTGCAGGACATGGTTCTTTCGAATTACGTACACATTCCTATGGCATATATATATATATATTATACACATCCATGCATAGACATAGATATACATCATATTCTGACGATGGATATGACATTGGATCCTTTGATAGACATCGTATCTTTTCTTCAAACTTCGGAGTCCCCCCCCTCCCCGGCCCCTCCCCCACAGGACAACTATCACTCCCCATCTGCAATGTTCAGTAAATCGAGGGTACTGACGTGACTCACGGAGCCCATAAACCCTTCTTGAGTAACTCTGTGGGGTGGCCCTCCTTTAGGCTAACTCACCAGAAGGTTGTTATTAGAGGATACATTTGCCTTTTCAGGAGCGTCCGGTTGTGCAAGTGGGCGTTATTCAAACAACGTGCCGCAGGGTCACAAAACGCCTTCCAGAGGCCCATCTCCTTGTGACTATGACCCTCAAGTGTTCTTCCCCAGGTTGTGGGATCCAGGGGTTTATCCCCACTTCTGTGATACAAGGGAATCTCCCCCTTTACATTGTCACAGCAGTGGATTCCATTTCCCACTGCCCTGTTCATCCCTGTCTTTCAGGAAGCGGTCAGGTTCCATTCCAACAAGTGCTGTCGCTTACATGGTTTGGGAAACCTTGGACACATCTTTGCGTCTTGTGGTCTAGTGGTTGAACCCCACGCACTGAACCGCTCAAGTCTGACAAGTTTTTGCTCCCCAAACCCATCAAGTTTAGGAGTCGGATGAAGAGACGCCCGGCCCTGTGGCCAGCGCTTCGGACAGTCGCCTTCTTGGGCTCCGGGGTGGACCAAGTGAGTCGTGGCTCGGACGACTTGGAGGTCCTTTTCTTGACTGCTCTTGGGTTGAATCTTTAGACTTTAACACTTTTTGATTGAAAACAAGTTTTTTTGGAGTTTGAGTGAAGCCCCCCACACTCTTCGCAAGGCCTTTGGTGGGATGCATTGGACTGACTCATGGGATCAGTTTCTCCCAAAACTTGGCATTTTCGGCTCGGCTTATGACCTTCATGACTACAAAAGGGAGTTGCCCAGCAGTGAAGGACAGCAATACCACCAGCCGCAATAGCAATGACAAGACTTCCACGAAAGAAAATATCAGTACCTTTTTTATGGCTATGTTGGATCTTTGACTTTGAACTTTTTAGGAAACAGGCGGGACTTGTCCATTGGACCCACCAAAAATGGGGTAAACTTCTTGCAGAGTTGCAGCACCCAAGCACCCAAGCACCTCCCAAGCCACCCAGTGAGACGGCATTGGGAAAAAAACCGGTAGCGGTTTCGTTTGGATTTGGGCGCGGTATGGGACATGGACCTCGAATGCTTTTCATTCCATGGCCGCAGGGCCATGAGTCCCATCTGTGGGTAGCGCACAACGATATCAGAGGCCGCAACTCGGAGATCTTGGGGTCGATTCCTTTTCCATTCTTTTCAAGCATCGTTCTTTCCAAAAGCCGGATCGGTTTTCCCCGGGTTTCCGGAGGTTTTCTAGAAAGAAGGATTCCTGGAAAGGATAGGGAAGGTACCCCGATCATATTCGTGATGGTTGTCAATGGGTTATGGGCAGCGCGCACATCTGAAAGATCTCAGATGTTGTGCCCAGTGGCCCGGACAAGCTACCGCAATCTGTCAGTGGCATTCGAGCACCTTTAAACATGGGGTAGTCTCTTCTCCAGACTCGCACAGCCAGCGCACTTGAGACCCTCACCTGACTCAATGCTCGCGGTCAACAGGTTGCAAGCATCCAGGTTCGGTGAGCGGAAGTTGCCCTTCAGTGGCCTCTTGATTTGTCAAGTTTTCCGGTGGTTCTGCTGAATCAGGAAATGCATCAGCACGCAGGCCATCTCCCTGGACCATGTACTCTGTTTTGTTCATTTGGGCGCGGCTGAAAATTAAAGAGCGGGTGCTACACGGGTTCTAGTCTTTGGTTCCATTTGCCAAGGTGCCATTTTGGTACCACCCTGTTGAGCCACAGCTTGAAGTCATTTGAATGATGAAGGTGAACAGCGCGGGCAAATTTGAAGCCGACCAGCATTTTTGAAATCAGCGGGCCCATGCGGGTGTTCAGCGAGTCAGTCCAAGGCTCCAGAAGCTGTTGGGCACGCGTCCGAATTCCGATACCGTCCTGGCGCACCCTCGCGTGCGGGCGATGCTGGAGCAGGAAGGGCTCTGAGAGAGGGCATTGCTGGAGGTGCTAATTAAAATGGCTGCTTTCCTTTTCCATCAATCTGCCAGATTCACAGGACGAAAAGCCTCCAAGAGAAGCTCAGGGTCACTTTGAACACGGGACCCTTCTAGTGATCACTCAGAGGTGTTTCAATGAAACAAGGCTTGTAGGATCTTGCAGTAGTATTGCTAGGAGGTGGCCATCCGCCTCCATGACAGGAACTAGAACAGAAGAAACGCAGACTCACCAGAAGACATCATGCTTTTCTTCATGGGGGCTTGGGGGGGAGGGGAGGGGGAGGGAGCCCTAAATGAGCCTATTAAGCCCTTAATAAGGTCTTATTTAGGGCTCCCTCCCCTCCCCTCCCTCCCCCCCCAGCCCCAATGATTTCTGCGCCATGGAAAAAAGGGCGACACCCGGTTTGGCGGCGGTTGCTGCGCGTCAGGAAGAACCTGCCCCAAGGGCGCAGAAGAAGGAGCGGATGCAATTGCAGCTTGGCAGTGAGCGGTCGCGTAGGGTGTCCTCAGCTGACGAGACTTTGTGCGACATGTTTGCAACTTGAGGGTGGGCTACTTGAGGGCTACTTGAGGGCTACTTGAGGGCTACTTGAGGGCTACTTGTGGGCTACTTGAGGGCAACTTGAGGCAAAGTGTTTGGTTGTCGTCCCTCCTTCACAACAACCAAGAGACCGAACAGGTCTGCCAATGCGATTCTTTCCTTTCACCCGAGAACACCATTTGGACGACATTTGGACAGCACTAGGGGAGC